GGGCTGAGATTGGGGGGACGAATGGAGAGATGGAGGAGGTGTGGGGGGGGGCAGCAACAAAGCCTGATGTTGCTATGGAGACATGTTTATGCCTCATTGATGCATCTTGTAGATCCAATTAGAGACTGATTGTGTCTGTGTCTTCATAGACATATGCACGTGTGTCCAGGCCCGGTGTGTGTTTAGACACACGCACGCACGCACGCACGCACGCACGCACACACACACACACACACGAAAACATATGTCTGCTTAAACACACACAAAAAAAAACAAGCAGGCATAAGCAGAGTGCTGCTGCTGAGCACTAGCAAATTATTAGAAGTAGGACAAAGGGATACCCCATGTTCTCGCTCTTATCGGCCTCTTGAATTAGCGCAACCCGCGTCCCCTCAACCCTCCCACTATCCCCTCCCACTCCCACTCCCCTTCAAAACCCGCGAGCGTCAGACAATAGTGGGGAAATAACGTCTCACCCGCGTCCAAGCCCTGGGATGGGAGAGGGGGGCCTGCTTTCCACACATGCTGTCATTATGGCATCATAATCATACGGGTGACGGGAAGGACTGTTTTCTGTAGTTTGCTTATCACATCTATCCTCTGTGAATGAAGTCATCTGGGTGGTGATGCCCCTATCCTCCTTGAAGAATGGCCATGAATGTTAATCCGGTCCTTCGTTTTCATGGGGGGTTTTTCCTTGAAAAAAGAGGACTCTTTGAGAATCTTTTAGAACAATGCCTGACTCCTTGCCAGCGTTTAACGTCATTAGATGAGAAAACCTTGACGTCCCCCTAGAGCTGTAGCAACCATAGATTTTGTGGGAGACTCCTCGAAGATTTGATCTGCTGAGTTTTTCCACCAGGACAAATATTATTTTCTGATTTTGCTCTTCATGTGCTTAATGGTAAATAATAGTAATATAGTCCAATTACTTTTGGGTAGCTAACATGTTTCATGCTACAGAGGCAGCTGCTTAGAGCCTCCAGGCCAGCAGAGGGCCCCATGGAGCACTTGGCCTCTTCACAAAAAATATGCCTCATTCTTGTTATAACTCAATCTGCCAACTTCCTGGATTGTTTTAAAGGTGGATGGTGGAATCACTGAAAAGCCTGCAGGTCAATGATGACGCTAAAATTTTGTCCATTTAATACTTAGATGTGTTGCAGGTATAAAACAAAACTTAAAAGAACTTCAAATTAATATTTTTGGGGAAAAACACTAATGTGTTAAATTGTTCATTTCATTCATTTATTGTATCTATCCAGGAGTCTTAAGAAGCCTTTCTGACTTTATTAATCGTTAACATCAAGGCCAGAGGCGACGTCACACTGTGTGAGAGATAGCAGTCGACTTTACACAGCCATACATTTCAGTTTTATTTCAAAACAAAGAATAATTACGCGAATGAAGTGTCTTTAACATCCACTTTGCATGTTAAGCACAATGCTAGCAGGATTAGCATTTTCAATTTTGAATCTATTCGTTCTTGGGAACGTAGAACCCAATTTTAGGTTACATTTATAAATGTATCCTAATTCAGGATGTTCTGTGACACAACTTGATTCTAACCAAACAACTTTGCTGCCATACATTCAGCTTTCTCGTATCTCCTGACATCCAATTCCTTTTTCGAGCAACCTGAACGAAGCTTCTTACAGCTTTTTCGCTTACAGTGAAAATAGCTTTCTTCTGTGACAACTTCCATAGTGAAGAGTGTTGCTGTCAGTAGTGGTAGGCTATGTATGGCGCAAAAAAAAAGAGAAAAAAAAAAGATCATATCTTTAGTTGCAGACCTCTGAATCCCAGATCAGGATCAATCCAGCATAAAATTGTCTCATCCCAGCCACGGGACGATTTGTCTGCTCATTTCTACCCTCCACATACTCCCCTATTAGTCTCTTCCGGGGAGAGGTCGTGGCTTTTTTCTGCTTGTCTGAAGAGCAGGTTATTTAGTGGTGAAACGATGTGTGCGATGATGAAATGAGGGGCTGCAGATAAGGTGAGGTTATACTCTGAGAGGGAGGAAGAGGGGAGACACCGACACAGACAGAGAGAGGGACCCCCTACACCCCTTCAGCCGCTGATGTCTTGTTATACCGTGAGGGATCAGAAAGAACAACAAATGCATCACGCGTTGCTAAATCCTCCTTAAATCCGCTGGCATGGGCAGATCTAGCAGATAGCCCCGCTGCTGGGCTCACTGTCTGCGATCACAACACACACACACACACACACACACGCGCGCTTATACATAAACACACCCGTGGTCAGTCCGGCTGTCTGGGTTAATGCTTGGCTAACTGGGACAACAGAGCTGAACCATGTTGACGTTTTAAGCCCCAAACAAGTCCAGAACAATGATTCAGCCCATCTGCCCCCACCGTGCGTTTCCACCCCCCGCCCCCAATAGGAGTGCAACCTCAGCCCCTTTCTGTTGACGCTCCAGCACTCACACACACTCCAGCACTGGCCAAACACACCGCCGTACCTTTGCCCCCGGTCTTCACACGCATTTACACACACCGGGCCTCCTCCTGTCCCCCACCTTCAGTGAATAAAAAGAGAACAAAAGCCGATCTGATTGAGTTGGCAGCAGAATCGACGCAGAGAGGTACTGTAAGGTCAGATGGATTATCTTAATCCTCCACCAGTAGATGATCATGACGGGTGGTGGTGGTGGTGGGGCGGGGCGTTGGTGGATGTACCAAGAAGCCTTAACCCTCTCAGCTGACCGCTGCGCGCTGTTGTTCCTCCAGAAACGGCCTTCTGAAGTAGCAGCATCGTTGTTATTACGCTAAAGCACGGGTCTTACCCCAAACTCCGAGAGTATGAAAAAGAAATCTGTTGCATTCCTTCTGCAAAATCCGATCCGAAGCGGCCATTTTGTGTTGTGGCACCTCTCTCTCTCTCTCTCTCTCTCTCTCTCTGTCTCTCTCTCTTCTTTCTTGCTAACTTTCGTTATGCTTTGAGTCACATCCAAGTATGAGAAAAATCTTCAGAGGATTTGTGTGAAACACTGTTGACTTGTTTGGAGGCCATGTCAAGCTGCAACACGCAAGTGTTTTGCCTCGCAGGCCGTCTCAGACGAATCTAAACCCGTAATTCCCTCGGCTAAAAGTATTAACACTATATAAACTCTGCTTGATATATGTGGCTGCTTGCACAGGCCATCCGTTTTATCTGGAAGTAACAATTTGTCTTTATTTTTTTGCCTCGCCCCAGGTTTCTTCCTGGAAAGGGTCTTGTGATCTACCCGGACATCGGGGACAAGCTGGATATCATCTGTCCCAGCGCCGACCAGGGCCGAGACTACGAGTTCTACAAGCTGTATCTGGTGAAGAGAGAGCAGGCGGAGAGCTGCAGCACGGTGCTCGACCCCAACGTGCTGGTGAACTGCAACAAGCCTGGGAAGAACATCAAGTTCACCATCAAGTTCCAGGAGTTCAGCCCCAACTACATGGGCCTGGAGTTCAAGAGGAACGTCAACTACTACATCACCTGTAAGTTTGTTGGGGTGGAGGGGTTGGGGGGTAAACAAAAAGACGAGTCGATTTGTTGACGTTTGTTGTTTTCACTTTTGTTCAGCTGAAGAAAGCCTGACTGAACAACAGGGGTAATAATCTCTGTGCTTCACACTCAGTTACACACAGTCACACCCGGGAGTTTCCTTGTTAAATTGCATTCTAATGGCTGCCGTGGCAGCTCCATAGCAACGACCGGAGTTTCTGTGCCTTGCTTAAGGCGGAGCGGTCAGAAGTGATTACGGTGTTAAATATTCTCCATCATTGTAGGACGCAAACAGGGGAACTTGAGCGCTTTGTTTGGGTTTTCAAGCTGTTTTACTTCCTCTTCATCTTATATTACACTTTAGAAAAAGATTGAATGGGATCACAATTAGCGATGCCTCAACAATTAACTTATTTTGTTAAGGCATAATTGATGAGGCCTTGTTTTTTGTTTTGTTTTTGTTTGTTTTTTGTAAAATGACAACATAAACCTGAAAGTCCAGGATAGCAGTATCTTGGATGAAGCCAGTGGGACTAAAGAGCATAAATAATTTATAAAATTTATGATCACTGAGCTGTAAATACAACCTTGATAGTAGCTCTTTTGAGAACAGCTAGACATGCAATAGTGCAATTGTATGCGATCGATAAACCTTTGCAACTTGAGAGCATACAGATGAGTACTTCCGATGATAAATATGCAATGAACAGACATGTTCTGATTTCATTTTTGGCTATCTATAATGAAAACCTTAAGCAATTCTGTCCTGGACTGTGCCTGGGAAAGTAATCCTCTCGCCCCGCCATCCAGCCTGCAAAGGTACCAAATTATGTTTGAAAAATTATGCTTTTGCTCCTGCTGTTTGTCAAAAATGTAATCTGTCCATCAATCCACCCAATGACTCCCTGGCGTCACGGTGCTCATGTTGACTGTCCACGTCTTAAAACAAGACATCAAGTTTATGGTGAACGTCTCGCATAAACTGGAAATAAAATCAAGCATTGCATAATAATTCAGCCTTCAAAGGATTCTGGCTTTATCGGCATGAGAGGAGCCTCGGTTTTCTCCTCATCAAAGCCCTCTAGCTCAAACTCCCGCAAGCTGAAAACAGAAACACACATACACACACACACACACACACGCACACACACACACACACACACACACACACGCACACACACACACACACACACACACACAAGAAAAGGCACATTTTTATCTC